AAATATGCCGAAGGTCAACAAATGGAGGGCAGCTCTTTCACGAGTAGCAGATTTGTCAGGGTTCACTTTGGACGAGTAAATTTCTAATCCCCTTATATAATGCTTTTCCTTTTGTTTTGTTTGTAATAAGTATAGCCACTATATATATTTGTACTCTGGTTGTTAGTGTAGAAGAAAGTTCTTCATTTTGATCCCAAATAAAAAGTAATTACAATTTTTTTTGTTAAAAGAAATGAATGAAAATAATTTTTTTATGTCAATAATTAATTAATAGTGTGAAAATTATTAATATTATTAATAAATTAATTTTCTCCTTTTCAAAAATTATACTACTAAGTAGTTGAAAAATTATTCATCGTTGACAAACTTTAACTGGGATCAGTTTTATAAGAGTTAATGTATTCATTAGTTTTTATAAGAGTTAATTGTTCCTTGCCCTTTTATTTTATTTTTTATTTCATATAGAAATGCCATGTCACTAAATGCTTCATATTCTTTTCAATTGGCAGGGATCAATCTGAATCTAAGTTTATCCAAAACATCATTGAAGAGATTTCAAAACACGTATCAAACTTTGTGTGTTTGGAAGTGGCAGAGCATCCAGTTGGAATGCAAGCTCAAGTACAAGTTATGAATAAGCTTTTAGATTTGGGGAAAAACGATGTTCGTGTGGTAGGGGTATGGGGAACTGGTGGAATTGGTAAGACCACAATTACTAAAGCTGTTTATAATTTAATTGCCCGTGAATTTGAAGGTTGTTGTTTTTTGGCAAACGTTAGAGAATGTTCAATGTCGCATGGAGGTTTAGCCAAACTGCAAAAGACTCTTCTTTCTGAGAGTCTAAGGGGAAAAAAATTGAAGGTGACCAATGTTGATGAAGGAGTCACTATGATAAAGGAATGGTTGAGGCGTAGAAAGGTTCTCTTCGTTCTTGATGACGTGGATGACATGGAACAGTTACACAAGTTAGTTGGGGCATGTGATTGGTTTGGTGTAGGCAGTAGAATTATCATAACAACAAGGGATAAGCAACTGTTAACTGCTCATGGTGTTAATAAAATACATGAGGTCAAGATTTTAGATGATCCTGAAGCTCTTGAGCTCTTCTGCTGCCATGCCTTCAAAAGAAGTGAGCCTCCTTTGGGTGATTATGTGAAACTTGCACGAGATGCAATACGCTATGCTCAAGGCCTTCCTTTGGCTTTGAAAGTTCTCGGTTCTTGTCTATATGGTGGAAGTATTGGTAAATGGGAAGCTGCATTACCTGGTTTCAAAAGCCCGAAAATTCAAAATGTTCTCAAAATAAGTTACAATGCATTGCATCATAGCGTACAACAGGTTTTCCTTGACATTGCATGTTTCTTTAAGGGTAAAAGTAAAATGCATGTGACAGAAATACTTGTAGCTTGTGACCCCGAAGCTGGGTATAGCATTGAAGTACTCGTAGAAAAGGCACTCATAAGTGTTGAACGAGGTTATATTTGGATGCATGACTTATTAGAAGAGATGGGTAAGGACATAGTTCAGCAAGAGTCGCCCGATGAACTTGGAGGTCGTAGCAGATTGTGGTCTCATGAAGATATCGAGCATGTTCTGACTAATGATACTGTAAGTATAATTATTATTTTTATTTTTATTTTTATCTGGAAGAAAAAGTAGAATTTGAAACTCGTGCATGTTTTTTATTAAATGCTTTGTAACAATGGTCCCTTTACTTTTTTATGTCAGGGAACAAAAAAAATCACAGGCATCATGTTAAATTCCCCCAAAAAGGATTATGAGATATTCTTGAATGTTGATTGCTTCTCGAAGATGAAAAATCTTAAAATTTTCATGAACTATAATGTACGTCTTTATGGAGACATTGGTTATCTCCCAAACATGTTGAGAGTGCTTGATTGGTATAGATGTCCGCTCCAATCTTTTCCACCCAAATTTCATCCAAAGGGACTTGGGTTGCTCAATCTTCCTTACAGCCGCATCAAACAACTAGGGGAGGGATTGAAGGTACTTTAAGAGGTCTTGTTTATTAACTGATGTTTGTTGTAAATTTCTTTAATGCTATCCATTTGATTATTATTGTTATTTCAATTCTTTTTTGGTTTCACAGCATTTCACAAAGTTGACATCTTTGAATTTAATGGGCTCTGAATTCCTAACTGAAATTCCCAACCTATCCGGCAGCCCAAACTTAAGGTACTTGTATGCGAACCATTGTAAAAGTTTAGTTCAGGTTCATCCATCTGTTGGATCTCTTGATAAACTTCAAGTACTGAATTTTTATGACTGCTGTGAACTCACCAAGTTTCCAAATGAAGTTTGGTGGAAATCTATGGAACAGTTGGATCTTAGATATTGCAAAAAATTGGAGAGTTTCCCAG